GCCCCCCCCCCCCCCCCCCCAAATCATCGGTGAACGAAACTGCGGCAGCTACAACCACTGTACGACGAGTATGCGGTTCTTACAGCTGACAATATGATGATGAGACCTACCGGACAGCTTGACTGTTTTGTTTTGGTGTAGGAAACCTTATGCGTTCCAAGTCCTGCACCTATTTGACGAAAAAGCCACGAATGAACGAGTCCTGTGGTTGACCGCGGAACAAGTCACCCAGTCAGCATAACTTAAATGTGGTCAACTATGACCTCAATACAGTTAGGCAATGAACTGACGGTATAAAATAGGAAATACACTTGAAGGAGAGTTTCAAACAGTTTCATCACTATTCAAAACAAAACTATCAACGAACAACTCGTGGTCGCCTCGGTTGAAAGAGACCCATATCCACAATTTTACGATGTAAGTTTACGGGGTTTTGTTTTATCTTTGAGAAATCGTAGGAGAAAGGTTAAAACTACATGTGTTTCGATAAATACACTCATCTGCATATCAATTTGGTTGCCACGGGAGACTCAACCGAACAATCTGGGAGTTTTCGGAGACTTTGTGAGTATTGTTCTTTATGAAAATACACGTGCTTAGTTTTAAAAGATGCGATGGATCTAAAACCACATGGCTTGCCACTGCAGGTTTTTACATTCAGCGACTAGTTGGTTTCCATAGTACCAATGCAGGGCGAAAATCTTCTAGGGTTAAAATGAACAACTAATAACAACAGAAAATCAGTAATCAGTCAAGAAACCAAAAGTCAACAATCAACGGTTTACCTATATGGTACAATCATCGACATAATAACGACCAGGTATGAATCGAAGAATATCGGACCTTATGGATGGAGACGAAAATGTGAGCGGAAAGCCCCTATAATAGCTCCTAAATTACCTCTGGGCCTTGACAACCGCACTGGTGGATCCCCACAAGCCAGTGGGTGTGGGTGACCGCCTTGGAAGATGGTCCAATGGGGCCTCATCGATGAAGGGCATCGTGTGCCTAGGTTCCGGATGATGGCGCTTGTATCGTTGTTTGTCATGTGGAGGTTGTCTCCGCAATGCGGTCGTAGTGGTAATGAGTCGGCAGAGCTGTAGAGGCAACGCTGAGTGAAGTGCCTTCAGCATCGTGTACTAAGTGAAGGATGAAGCCGACGTAAACGACCACGAACACGCTGACGTGGCTGAAGGAAAACAAGAATGGGGGTTACAATGTAAGAAAATTACTTTGAGCCTGACTAAACGAAAGAACTGGGTTGGTTGGAGGAGATATGTAAAACACTAGCGTGCACAAAGATGTACTACCAGCATCTAGTGGCGCTCCTAGAGGAAAACAATTCGAGGACAAAACAAAGCCATTCCCTCATGCAGGCAACAAGACCAATGCGCACTCGGTGCAGTTGACTACGAGTGGGTTTAAATGAATTTCACTTATCGTCCAATGCTCGACATGGCTACCCGCTATTCCCTGTACTATTCGACTTCGCGCTTCATGGCATAGTGCACCAAGTTGTCCATGGACAGCGTGCAATGGAAGTTGGACACAATGTATCCACCACAGGCCTTGAATTCGGTGTAGATCACCTTAGCCAACAACAGGTTCTCAGTAGAATCTTCCAGCTCATCCTCCAATGGTCTTCGGGTCGACGGCCCGAAATCATGGTCTTTTCTTCATCAGGACTCAAATCAGGGTGGCCACGCACACTAAATGTATTGGTGCCTACTATGCTGCATCACATTGGGAGCCAGAGAATTTTCTTTTTTCTCCTCAATGCCCGGCTGATCAAGTCGCCTGCAGCTAAGTGGGTCAGACCGTTGAGTCACTGACCGCGGGGAGGGCCCCATAAAAACCCTGATACGTTTTGCATCGCTCATTGGACTGCTAATTCAATGCTTACAGGCGGCGCACCGGAGCAATAATCTACCTTCTCCCACGGCGTTGTTGACCAGACTTTTGAAGCAGGAGCTCAAGATGACGTAACTCGAAGAAATCCCCGTTTCGGGAAGTGACCCCCGCCCATTTAGCTCAGACATAGTGGTTAATCCCAATCTATCAGTTTTGAGACTACTTATTAACAATGTAATCCACATCCGCCCAACTGTAGCCCTTTAAGTTTAGAGTCGATTCTAAGCCCTATATCCAGAAAAGAAAATCTAAACGTATACTAATTACACTAAGGAGTGTGTCCAACAAAGCGCCGTTTAACTCCTATAATGTCTGTTAGATCAGCAGATTTCTCTTCCCCTTACATCATTTTCTTTTTAAAAATCAGTGTACTGTTTTCAAAACACGATTACAAAACTGTAATACGGTAATGCAGTTGAACACAGTTGAGAGCAGCTCATTTTGCTCCAGGTTCACTCTCAGGAAGTCAGGTACTCCAGAAGCAGCTCCGTGTAGGCATTCAGTTGTGTGAGAGCCGAGGACGCTCTGCCTGATTGGATCTCCATAACCGGCCGGTGATAAGTAGTCAAACTGACCCGGTCTGGCAGAATCCGCAATCAACGATCCCAAACCTCGAAGCTATCCGTTATATAAGCACAATTTCCGAACAAACTGCAGGACTGACACTGAAAAAGATGCTTTACACAAATAGCCTTCAAGACCCCTGCGGATAACCAAGCGTTTGAATACCACTACTCTGGACAGCTCTTTGGATGCCCATTTGGGTAGAAATCGACGCAAATGACCCATCTAGGGGTAAGATCAGGTGCAGATAGTTCCAGAACCAACAATTGTGATCGTTTCTTACAACTGTCCTCCACCGTCTATTCTTCACAAGCGCAAATTTTCAGCACAAATGTAAGCATAGCGTTACCTCGCGCCTTCCAAACCGTGACCAACCGGGCACGAAAAGTTAACCATTCAGCAGTTAGCTATAGATGGTTCTGATGATGATTGTCGCTCCTTTTGGATTAATATCAAGCCCTAGTGAGTGTCCACACTGCAGTTCTTCGTTCGGCTGTATCATCCTTTCAGTGCCTAACTACCATGCCACCAGAGGGAAACACGATGGGTGGGATACTGCCATGTTGCTCAAGCCTAAACAGGGGAAGTCGAGAGGCAAAGGTCGGGTTCGAACCACGGAGCTTACGATCAGTAAATTCGCACTCTAGCCACTGAGCTAGCAACTGACTAGGGGGGACATTCATCACCACGACATTCGGTACACGAAACATTCGGTCATCAGAGAAGACTATCATCAGGAAATGTGTACACAACTTATGAAACAAACCAGTCAGCTAAATATAGGCAAACTCAAAATCCAAAAGACTATAAAATCGGTGCTTGACCGTGTGCGCCAGTACTGAAAAGCGAGAAGGCGAGAAGGTCTGTATACAGCCCTTTTCAAAGAAGTCGGAGAACCCATGGTGACCAATCTAACAGAGCTTAGTTATGCGATATGGAGCAAAAAGAGAGCGACTGCAGAAAGGATAAACGGACACTGTGTGAGACCCGCTCTGGTATCAGCTTGGCGGCTGTGGCATCCAAGGTGCACTCTGGTCTTATCCATCGAAAGCTGATTGAACCCAGAGACAGATTCGTGAAAACTAGGCTGGGTTACGAAATACAAGACCCATGGACCATATTTTCACCCTCCGACAGATTCTAAAACAGCGACACTGCTTCCAGCAACCAACAACGGTTGCCTTCCTTGACTTGAAAGATGAGTTGAATCTGTGGACCACGAGGCACCATGGCCCATGGAGCACAGGTGTCCACCACAGATTCTTGACCACAGCTCGGGCGCTGTATGCCATCTCCCACGAATGCCCTCGCTTGAACTCACTACATTAAGTGGTGTCAGGCAATGCTGTCCTCTTTCACCTTTCCCCTTTGTACGGAGGACAGCCGTCCCTAATAACCGAACATCACACCATTTGGACGGATGTGTCACGTGCAGGACACGGGCCAAACGGAGGCATGCCCTGATTGGTCAGAATGCCAGCCAATCCGAGTCAAGCATTCACGGACTCACGGATTGATACACAGGACCGAGGCTATTGCCCAAGATTCCCGGGTCGCTTTTGTTTTTGTCGGTCAGTGGCTGTCGTTCGCCTGAAGGGCAAAAGTGAAAAAAGGGTGTAGCACTGCTCTTTATGTTCTCGGCGCGGGGCAGTATGCTTGCCAGCGCGAGGATTCGCAAAATTAAATGTCTAATAGTGCTTGAAACTGGGTTCTAGAAGGAGCGTGGACAACCGTCGGAGGAACGTCATTCCACGCACCTACTACCCGAAATGAGAAAAAATTTTGTATGATGAATGCGTGTGCCCTGAGCTTGAAAATTTTCTTACTATGTCCCCGCCCTGTTTGCGGGGTCAACGCCAAAAAACCTGTTTGCCAAGCTTTGTTCAAACAGGTCATAAGTAAAAATTAGGTCCTCTCGGAGGTGACGGTACTCCAGAGGTAAGAGATCAAGCATCGCGAGACGCGTCTCATAGTTCACGGATTTGAGGCCTGCAACCATTCTCGTGGCGGCTCGCTGGACACGTTCAATGGGGGTGATGTCTTTCGTGCGTCCTGAGTAGACAACTTGGCGTGTTCCCGGAGCGGTCTGACGTAGGCCCCACAGATTATTTGGTGGTCCATGCGAGTAATACGGGAGAAGGTGCGTCGGATCATCTGTAAAATGCCGAATGCCCTCCGGGCCGATTTCTCATGATGCAGTGAGAAGGACAAGTTTGAGGAGACCCAGATGCCCAAATCCTCTTTGACATCTAACCTCATGATGTTTTTCTAGCCCTTTCGCACCATGCATATCAAAAGCATTCACCGCGTCTCCTCCAAACGAGATATGGACCCAATTTTCGTCATTCAGAAGAAGGTGCCGTCCAGCGATCACTGCTTGGCAGCGTCTATATCCATTTGGAGGGCACTGGCATTGGAACTCCAGGATTTCAAGTCGTCCGCAAAAAGTAGACATGGACTAACAAGAACAGCTGGGAGGTCGTTGACGTAGATCAGAAACAACACTGGTCCTAGGACTCGACGCTTCTCGCCCCCTCACGGAGATTTTGGCACGACCTTGTGGAACACTCTGTGGCTACCTTATAAGTACGGTTGTGATAATTTTCCTGTCTCCATAAAGAGCTGTGTAGAGCTACTGTGCCTTTTGATATACCATAGTGGGCAGAGCAAGAAGTTAAGAGACGGGTACAGAGTTGCACGACCGTCCACAATCCCCTTTAACTTCGTTACCAACACCATCATGGGAGATTCACCCAAACTCCGGTCCGGGCATCTGCTCACAGATACCGATTACGCGAACGGCGTCATCGTAACGCAAACAATATTATTCTAAATAATTGCCCCTTGCGGATGGATGTGCGCTTCCTAGCTACAAAGTGTGGAGCACCGCTGCAAGAGTGGGTCATCCGATTGACGTATTGGACAAGTTTATCTAGGTGGCCGGATGTATCAGTTTCGGACTGAGAAGAGAACAACACAACCAGATCTATTATTACATAGACAAAAACTCGGCCCTGAGCGCGACGGACGTTCATAAACCTCAAGCCGAAATAGGGAAAATACTGCGAGGCACGTTTCACAATCAACAAATTTGAGGCCGAATAATATTTTCATAACAGCTCGTTGTACAACATCAACAATGGTTGCGTCTTTCTTGAGTTCTGAGTGGAAAACTTCATTAGCACATTCAAGAAGCGGTCTGACGTAGCCCCGCATGGTGCCTGGAAGTCCGTTTGAGTAATTCTCAGGAAGGTGCGCCAAACCACCTTAGGATAGCGAATTCATTTGAGCCGTTTTTACTTGGTGCAGTGAGGACATGTTTGAAGCGAGCCGGATACCTAAATCACTTTAAGCATGTATTCTTGTAATGTCTTCTGGTCCGTTCACACCATGCACGACAAAGACGTTCGCTGAGTATCTTTTGAAAGATATTTGGACGCACCTTTCGTCATTCAAGGGACGGTGCTAGTTCGATGGCCACTGTTTTGCGGCGTCTACATCCGTTTGGACTGTACCGCCATTTGAGCCTCTGAATTCACCGTCGTCCGCAGAATGTAGACTCGTACCTGTTCTCACATCTGTATAGGGATGTGTTTAGATTGTTAGCACTGAGGTCCTTCACGAGATACTCGTGCTGAGGGGTATTGTGATGTAGATTGCTTCTGAGTTCGTTGGTTTCTTTGGTTGAATTTTTCAAACCAGTGTACT